TGTACATTGGTAAGAAAAAAAAAAAAAAGATACGGTGTGGTGTGTAGAGAGAGGCAAGAACATAAAAATACACAATTTTTTTGATATGAAAAAAAAAATAAATATTTTTTTTTTTTTTTTTTTTTTGTTAATAAAATTAGTTTGTTGTTTGGTGTGCGGAGCGCGGGGGGGGGGGGGGGGGGGGGGGGGGGGGGATACTCGACCAACATTTGGGTATAAGTGAGCTGCTGAGGGTTTGAAACCCTGACCCTGGTTTGGAGAAAAAATCGTAAAATAACTTTTTCAGCAAACACCCCCAATTTTATTAGCCTTATTTAGGACAAAGACAAAAATGCACGCCGTCTACCACATCAATCAATCCTGCATGCAATACCGACTAGCCTGCCCCGCAGGCGTTTTTAGGGGAGCTTGTATTTCGTCGTTTGAGGGGAGGGACGAAATACGAGCTCCCCTAAAAATGCCTGCGTGGCAGGCTAGCAACTGCAAAACAGTTGGCTTTTTTTCTCAAAATTAGCCTGCGTAGCATGGCGGTTTTGTCGAGCCGGGCGGACGAGCAGCGAAGCCCCAATCTACTCGCGCTTTCTCTGCCCTCCCGCTTTTATTACTTAGCGCGCCCAACCAAAACCGCCATGCTACGCAGGTTATCGCAAAATCGGCATAGCGTAGCTTAAGAATCTCACACGCGCGCGTGAGCGGTTTTTCTCGAGTCTTGCTCCCCGTTTTCAGCCTCGCTCCAGACCTTTTGTTTGACAGCTCCCGCGTACTTGAATATGCAGTCTAGTAATACCCTGTTTATAGTTAGGACGGACTCTCACTGAATTAGAAACCCTGTTTAGGACAGAGAGGTTAAAAACCATACCCTGTCCAACGACACATCCCTGTGACAGAAGCACTGGCAATGAGGCGGGCGTCACATATCCTTTCTCCCCTACTCCCCCTTGATCTTCCTGGCCCTGTGCAGTGTACAAAATAAATGCATGGAAATCAAACAATACATATTTTTGGTTATTTCCCATGCGCAAAAGTGCACAAACTTTGCCAGGAGCCCATGACTTCGCTTTTAAGATTTTGCTAGTCACAGTGAGGAGCCTATAGGCTAGGCTCCTGCGGCAGCATATATAACATTCCATGAGACCTAGTGCTCGCGGACGTCCGGCTGCATTCCGCATGGAAAAACCAAAACGAGCCCATTTAGCTCCTGGCTTTCACAAAGCTAGAGCCTTCCGGTGAACTAAAGAATGGGGCACCGCAGATTTGGAGGGGGTGGTCTGTGTTAGTAGGGATTTTACCAGGAGACTATAATATTACTATAATGTATTATCTTTGTCACGTGACTTGCCACACCCATGTTTGACTTTTTATTTCAATCTACATTTACACTTCTCTCCCTCCGGAGGGAGAGAAGCGATAGCCTGCGTAGCAAGCGTTTCCTCGCGAGGTTCGTCTAGAAAGCCGGGACAAGAGCAAAAAAAAAAAGGAATGACGGGGTAGGGTGAGGGGAAAGAAGGAACCAAGCGACGACCCGAAATGCTTCTGCTGTTCACAGGCTACATTTACACCACTTTATAAATAACACTTGCAATTTAATTTATTTTTTGTTAATGACTATCAACGCAAAGTGTATGGAATTAATCGGGGTTTTCGTAAGTTATCTACTTTTTGTAAACTATAACGTTTCTTGTTGTAAAGGAGACTGGGACGAGAGAGAAATATCTAATATTTGAGTGAATGGATCAGTTCACAAATACCCGATTAATTTAGGTTATTTGACTGGAAATGAAATATTATGGAAGGAAAAACGATTGTGGTCACATTCATTCAAGTGGTGTAATCTGCGAAGACCAAATTTTGCATAATTATGGGCGTGGCTGGTCACGTGATCTGTAAGGTTTTAAAAATGAAGAAAGATACTAGACAAACAAGATCAAATCACAACATTCAGCGTGTAACGAGGACCTAAGCGGAGGTTAGTCCATACAACAAGAATCGTTGCGTGTTTTCTAACCTTCATGTCGCGTCATTTTAGCTTAATTAAGAAGCAGAACGCAAAACACCGGCACCTTTGTAATTAACCGCCAGAGACGAGGAAACGCGCGCGTTCTTCACCCTCGCAGATAACTCGCAGGCTTGCTGTGAAGGCTACGTGCTCGTGGTTCGAGTTCAAACGTGTCGCGTTGACACCACGGTTAGACATCGTTAACAATATGCATTGTCTTCCCTTTGGTATTGTCCAGGTATAGGGAACGCCCCCAAATATTTCCTACCAATAATTTCTGAAAACAGGCTGAGGGCAGGCTGACAACAGGCTGACACCAGGCTGAGACCAGGCTGACACAGAAAACTGAGCACCCAAGAATAATTTCCCTGATTTCTAAATAAGGTGAAATTGCTTAAGTATATTGCTGACATCATAGCCTGCGAACAGCAGACGCATTTCCGGTCGGTCACATGCAAAACGTCACCCTTCCCCCGCTTGAAATAGGAAGCGGGTCACGGGAGGTCACCATTGGCAACTATTGTTAGGAGTAAGCCAATGAAATAGCAGACCATTGTTATTATGTCTAAATTTGGAATAATGCCATTCAAGGCCGCCCTAAATATGCTGTGTCTGCCTGCTAGGTTCCTCTTCCCAACCGCAAAGATTCGGAAGCGTCGTCGAAAACGTTGAGGGTTTTATACCCGACCATTTTTTAAAGAATTTTACCGGACAAGTCGCCAAAATACCTCCCTTAAAGGAACTAGATTTTCCCCTCCCCATCTTTGACGGACTGGACCTGAAGCAAGAGCCCGAACCATGCGTATATCCGCCATCATGTACTCCCATGGACGTGCTCGATCTTTATGAGTCCGGCGAATGGTCAGCAGCGAATTCTCCTTGCTCTGAGCTGTTCGAAGACGTTGACCTTAGCTCTGCTTCTGATCTGGACGAGAGTTGCACCTATCTGAACGACATCGCGATTGATTTTGCCTCTTATCTGGATCCTGCCACCTTGAGCACCAGTCCCGAAGATTTGACCAAGTATTTAGCCCCCCGTAAAGATAGCAAGCGTAGAGAAGTAGTGGAACCTTATTTACCCGAAGTAGATCAAGGATACGCTCCAGTTAAAGTAGATTCCAAAGTAAATTCCCCGAAACCGGCTGTGACCTACAAATCAACGACTCTGGCGAAAGAAACCGAGCAGAAGTCGACCAGGCTACCTTCTATCGCCTCGCAACTGAAGGCTCCAAAATATCGCCGAGGCTCTTCGTCTTCCAAGAAAGCGTCGATCGAGAAGGGAAGCGATGAATATCGCTTGAAACGGGAACGCAACAACATTGCGGTCCGCAAGAGCCGATTTAAGAGCAAACAAAAGTATGTGGAGACCCAGCAGAAAGTTGATGAGCTGCAAGAGGAGAATTCTCGTCTACAATCCAAGGTCGATTTTCTCACTAAAGAGCTCAACGTTCTCCGAAGCCTGTTTTCTACCACCGGTGCCTACAAGGATCCAGTAGTTAACGCTGCCCTTCTGTCTCATGGCATTCCGACTCCTCATGGTCTTGTCGCCTCTCGTTAGAATCCCTAACGAATGGAACTGTCTTTTAAACTGATTTGTGACGTTAAAAAATGTAGATCTCTGCATATAATGATTATTCGTGTAACATCACAGCCGAATAAATACAGATTGATCGCAATGGATGTGGTATTGCTGTTCTCTTCTTCGAACGCCGTAACTGGTATAGTACTCAATATTTTAATACTCACTTAAGCCATAGTAATTAGCCCAAATTATACCTTTCTAGAACTAATTGCTATACCTTTGTTGAGGGAAAACAAACTCGAATTTGTCTATCGAAAAGTTAGTTTCATTTTCCTTATCGAGATGATCTTTGTACTCTTTTTTTCTCCTTCCTTCTAAAGATCTCCTAAAGAGCATGGAATATTAACTAATGCCGACTTATTTGCATTCTGCAATGTTTATAAACATGTTCTTTTGTCAGCGATAGGACACCTTTCGTTGTTTCGTTCCGGGTCGAACAAATGCGAATTTGAGGTTGAACTGTTTAGTCTGACTTGAACTACAGCGTAATTAGTTGAACATCTCGTCAAATGACAGCGGCTTAATTTATTCCTGTTTGAAACGGTCTGAAACGCAACTTCTGCTAGTAGAAGATTGAAATTTGTCAAGACGCTAAGAGACCACCACCTTTTTAATAGTCGTATTAAGTGATCTGTACCCCATTGAGATTTAAAATTACTTCACCAAGGAACCTACGCTGAAAGTAGATAAAATGGTTATAAATTCTCTCGGGAGCTAAGCCAATTCACATTAAGTCAATATCTGTGCATTTTGACATTGTTTGCATGATCCAAGCGACCTTAGGCTATTGAATTAGTTTTTTTGTTTTGTTCTGTTTTTAAATAATCTAACTGTGGTTTGAGGGAGTTCCTTTGCCATTTCAAGGGCAAAAAATGAAACTTTTTATTTATCAACAGCAATGCAGGATACAAAATCTACAGAACTGTAAACATTGTAGCTGGTGTTACCATTAGGAATCATTCTTACACATGAACAGGAAGAAAAATCATTGTATTGTTTTGAATTTATGTTCTGAGTGCTTTGAAACGTCTTGTCCTTTGCCAGCTATGCAGCATTTGCAAAATATTTTCAGCTGAAAATGTTTCATCACAGATGACCAGTCTCTACAACAAACTAATTAATGTTGAGTGTAAGTTCACCCAGTATTACTCTCCTGGGGGGAAGACTCTTTTATCTGGCATTAAGCAAGACTGTCTGTCACCAAACAGGGTGTAGATTTCAGAGTCTTGTAGTGTTAAACAGGGTTTGCAATAATGCTCCAATTAGGATCTGAAAGGGGCCATGCAGGGCTCGAAATTGCAACTGATATGGTTGCCAATGCAACTAACATTTTGTCCTTGGCAACGAAAAATTCTGGTTTAGTCGCCACTTTAGACACCAGATTTCTCTATGAGTTAGATTTAAATTACATGTAATAGGGTAAAGTTTAAACAAACATTGATAGCCCTCCAAGCCCTTATCTGCAAAGCAGATAAGATGAAATTTTCATCTTATCTGTTTTGCCTTTGTCATAAAAAATGTGCCAAATCGCATAAACAAAGCTAGTTTACTTCCAAATTTATACTGACTTCTTTCTTTGATATTTTCAAACAATCAAATCCGATGGATGGTGCCATACTATAAGCTGCATCATTTACATAACTGACGACTAAAAATTTGCATCTGGTGACTATATTTCTCCCGTTACGTTGGTCGCCAAAAGGTGACCTATTTAATTTGTAGCCCTGCTATGTGATGCTAATAATGACATAGCACCTTTACGATGCTATAGCAACAAATTTTGCTATATTTTATTAAGCCAAAACTTGTCTTTGCATAAATTGAATTCCAAAAATAATGGTCCAGGTTAGGCATTGAAACTGTTTCTTGTGGTCTGTTGCTTTATGGATGGCAAGGATGGAAATGGATTGAAACTTGGAAAAGTTGGGCCAACCTTTTCAGGGTTGTCATTAAGAGCCGGGGGCCGGGGATTTCCCCCGGCTACTACGAAAGTGGTCCCCGGCTAATTTCATTGGAAAATAGAACAGGGTCCGAAATTAACTTTTTAATATGGGCGCCAACTGGTGAACAAGTATAAATTTTTGGTTGCCAGGGGGCAAATTATGGTCGCCAAAGAATTCCCCTTGGCGGCTTGGAAACATTCAACTCGTATTGATCGTAGTTGTTGTGGAGGTATATTTACAGGAAGATTCGTTTCACTTTTAAATTAAAAAAATATCCACAGGACGAATAGTAAGACACCTGTTGGCAAATAGCTTCGAGGTTTCAATTCTTAATCATTTTGTCCGAACGTGAAAGTCTACAATGACAACCAGCTTTACGAGGTCACCAGCTGGCGACCAACTATGAAATTCTGGTCGCCAGAACTTAATTTTTGGTCGCATTGGCGACCAGGAAGGCGCAATTTCAGACCCTGTAGAATAAAAATAGAACCAGAAGAAATCCCTAGCTGTTTGATTCCCCACCTACTTGTTATATTTACCCGGCAACTTTGAAATCTTAGTGACAACCCTGCTTTTCAAGTTTTAATACTAAGCCAGCAAAAATGGCCCAGAAAAATATGGTTAGCGCTCCCTTAAGACATTTGATGGATTGAGTATGAGTAAAGACGCAAATTGATTACTTCAGCTCAGAATTGATCTAAAATGGCAATATGTCCTCGTGCTATAACCCATTTAACCCTTTAAGCCCTAAGAGTGATCAGCATCAAATTTCTCCTTGTTATATCAATGCTTTGTAAATTAGAGTGGTCCTGAGAATTACGGACATGATCACACAAGATGAATATGCTTGATATTTTATCAACTTCTCCCCACTACTTCTGTTGGGAATGAATAGGGGCAACAAGTGATAATTCAAATTTTGATCTTAGGGGTTTAAACAGTTTAACAGGATGATTTTTTCTGTCCGTTATGCCCTGAACATGGTGTGAACTTTGGTGGTATAGAATCTACCTGCGTTCTCTGCACTTATTTCCTGTTTTTCCTGATCTTCTCTCAACAATTATTGTTGATGTTTTTATGAGAAAGCAGGCCTGCCCAAGATCAGCCTTCTCATACAAACAAAAATGATATTATTTTAACGAAAAAAGAAACAAGGCATGAGCCATCTGAGCCATCCAAGTAAAGCAGGTCATCCCAGCTAACAGCTGGGATGAGCTGTCTCACCTTATCCCTTTAACCCCAATAGTGACCAACATCAATCTTCTCCTAACAATATCTATACATTGTCAAGAGATAAGGTTGTGAGAATTAATAAAATGATCACCAAAATGATCGTTTATCATATTCTCTCAACACATTCTTTAAGGAAGTGTATAGAGATCAGTTTGGAGAATTTGTATGTGGATTTTGGGGCATAAACGGTCATGTAAACAGGCCCTTGAACATATATAGCATAACATTCTGAGCTAGGCAACAGGCAGCTTTCATCAGGTTTTTCTAAAAAACAATGTTTCAAGTGCCTTTAAATTGATGTGATCGGTGTAAAACTGAATTACTATTTTTTCGATTCCCAATGCTCTCCCAATTATGGTCTTTGCTCCCTCCTTCTTTTGGGGAAATGAATGTGAAGACTTTTCCCTGAAAAGCAGCTGGTAATCGAGCCTAATTGATAGCCTGATACAGTGTTCTCCCTCAATTCTAGCTCAGCAGGCGAGGGACCATTCGCCACTTTAGAACATACCATAAAAATCTTCTTGTGCCCCCACCCCCAAAAAGAACCATTATTTTCAGTTTCTCTTAGGACTTAGAATTGTTTCAAGAGAAAACTAAAAACAATGTTTATTGAAAAAATGGCAAATTCATGGCCAGAAAGGCAACAAATATGTGCCAGAGGCGTACTTTCCTGGGGGGAGGGGGAGTAGTGGATCTTCGACCTTGTTGTGAAATTTAGGAGCTAAGCTCTCTGAAACAGCATTCCCTCATGTTACAATTAAGACCTATTTTACGCAAATCAGCCATAATTGTTTTTAGACAACAATTTCTTTAAAACGTTTGATTCCAAAATTTTTTTTTTTACTCTGTCTTCAATGCTCTCTTTCCAACATGCATGGCCCGTAAAAAGAAAAGCTGTGTATTTTATAGTACACTTCCATATTATATTCATGCATTATTAGTTGATCAGATCGGATCACTGCTTGCATATTTTTTAAACTAACTTGTTTCACCTTAGTAAACCCTCAAGCATTGGCAGGTGGTAAGAATTGTTGCTTCAGATTGTAAATTTTACCAGTTGTCGCCTGATAAGGAGAGCACTGACTGATTATTGATTTCCATCGTTATTTAGTGATGGACAATATTTAAAATTGTCGCCGGAAAATCACCATTGTTTAGTCAATTTGCCCTGCTGGGTCGACCTGCTGCAGCTAAGTTATATAAGTTAATGTGGGTCAATGATTTGTTTTGAGACCTTGTGCACTGGGTATTTCCAGCAGTTATTCCAGCTGTGTCAATTCTACAACACCATTTTTCATATGCTGCACTCAGGAAATGCTTTCCATACAAGATAGTGGTAACACGAGCAGATGGTTTCCTACCTCAACATCTGACTGTGCTGTGTTTCATCAATACCTGTAATACTTTGTAAAACTTTTGTCCTTCTATGTAAAAACATTGTTGATGAGATAGTGACAGCTGAAACTAGATAAATTCCCAAATGCGACACAAATATAAAGCCTCGTATCTAGCTCAATTTTGGTGGCCACAAAGGCTCTCTAATGATAGTCCATTTGCAGCCTGTAGATACCTGCTTTATGTGCAAACTTTGTAGGCTCTATACTTCCAAAACGATACCAGAAATGAACAGATCATGAGAAAATAGCCTTTTTTAACGTGGGGGACCGTTCATTTTTAGTCAGGTGAGGGGGGGGGGGTCATCTCAATTATTTTGGGATACTACAAAAGGGGGTCACCCCCCCCCCAAAATTTTATGATGAAGATGGGGGG